TTGAATAAATAAAAAATTTTTATTGACTACGTATATTAACCGCGCTATTTAACAAAAAGTACAAATTTTAAAAGTCCAAAAATGGCAAAAAATAAATATAAAAATTTAATTTGTCTCTTGAGAATTTAAGAAATTTGCACTTTTGTCAATTTACACTGTTAATAAAATTAGTCAAGAGAATTATTGTTGTTTTTTTTTAATTTTAGAAATATTCTGCAAATTGACACAATTAATTTTTATTTTCATATTATTAATTAAATATAATTAATTTAATAATATGAAAATTAAAAATATGAATTTATATTTCTTAAACATTCTCTAATTTAAATAATTCTAAACTTATATAATTAATATAAATAACAAAATTTCAACAACATTAAATCTTAAAACATAGTTGTCTTTAAAAACCTTTAACTTAAGTTTGACAATTCCTGATTTTTCACAAGTATTATAGTTTGATTTTATAGCTCAAAATTATATATTCTACTCATCTATTACATAAATTTTATATTCTATTAACTTATACATATTTTGTCTGGGTGTATTTTTGTACTACTCAAATCTAAAATTTACCAATTATTATACAAATAAGGTTATATTTATAGGTTTAAGTTATATTCTCAGACATTATAAAGTTTATTTGGGACTTTGGAACCCAGTTATTTTCGGTAAAATGGTTTTAAAATTTTGGATTTGTATAATTTCTATGAGTAATTATTAATTAAATCATATTTAAAATCAAAACATAATTAAAATTATTCTGTTAATTATTATCTCCTTCTCTAGAAAAATACTCTCTTTATTAAAAAAATAACTTTTTCTCTTTCTTCTCTCCTTTCTTTTTTAAAGTATTAGAATGTTTGAATTTTTAAAGTATTTTCATTTGCGAAATTTTTTTGGGGAAAATTATAATTGAGTCTGAATTGCTTCGGCAGTCAAATTTTTTTTTGAGTAAATACTTTTCACAACCCTCGATATACTCAAATGAAAGGAGGAAAGAATTTTAGAATATTTATTTGTAAAATTTCTATTATTCTGAATTATTCTCAAAATATTACAATAATTATTATTCAATTAAATTTCCTCCTAAACTTTAAATTTAAAGCTAGTGATTTTCGGTTTTATTCCTTTCCGGTTTTATTTCTTATTGGGTAAAAAAAATAATAAGTTACTCTAATTCAATTCTATCCAATTCTCTATCGAATGAAATATGTTGTAAAGAGTAAATAAAAAAAAAAAATTTTTTTTTATATATATATAAAAAAAAAAAATTTTTTTTTTGAATAATATAATCTAATAACAATGTGATATTAAGGCTTGGATATACCTGTGCCTTTGGAATTTTTCTGGTTAATTTAGTTGTTTTGGTCAAATTACTTATCTGCTTCGGCAAGTTCAACTGGTGCTTAGGCAAAAAAGAAATTGGAAAAAAGGTAGTTAAAAGTTAAAAAAAAACTATATATAACAAGTCTTGAAATAAAATTAAAATATAATAATAAAGTAAACAAACATAAGAAATAACCTATAATTATTAATAATTTATAAAAAATAAAATAAATAATTTATAAATTTTAAAAATTAAAATGGAAAATGTGGATATAAATGTAGTAGATAAAAAATTATTTGAGGGCAAGATTCTAAGCAGTCAAGCAAAAATAGGTGATATTTCAAAAGTATATGAAGATTTAATATTATTAGAAGATGGAGTTAATAGAAACCTAAGGGCAACAAATAGGAACATCACACATTTAGAAAATAATTTAAAGGGGATTGAAGATGGGGCAAATGCAGGCTTTGAAGAGGTAGCAAAAAGAATTGATATAGTAGGCGAAGATGTTAATAAATTAGATGAAAAAGTAGAAAGTATAAGAACTGAGTTTCAGGACAGGGACAATTTAGAGTTTGATGAGTTAAGGAGCAGTGGAGCGGCCAATCTTTTAAGAGCTAATAGTCGGCCCGCAGTTATACCACCACCACCACCACCCAAGCATAACTCCCAAAGTGCGAGCACTAGTAATAGTAATACTATAACGACATCATCCTTAGGGAAGAAAGCAAATAATAATTTAAATGAAAACAAAAATAATCAAAATAATGGTCAAGAATTAAATGTTTTGAATGAAATTGGGACTTCTGGTCCACAACTAAATGTGTTTACAGGCGAAGTTGCATCAGCTTTTGATGAATGGGCAATAAGATTTAGAGATTATGTTGAAGTATTTGGTAGTACTTGGACTGAAATGGAAAAGTTAAACAGACTTAAGTTATATTTAGGAGCGCAAGCAAGACAGATTTTTGAAAATTTATTAGTTACTGAAAGGAACACCCTAGCAAACGCATTAATGAATATTAGAGCAAAACTTGACAGCCCGCACTTCCGAGAGCTAGCTTACAAAAGATTAGCAGCGTGTTACCAACGGGAAGGGGAGTCAGTGAGTGAATTCATTAAAAGATTAGTACCACTTGTTAATACAACTTCATCGCATGCACCAAATGATGTAAGGGAAGAAACACTTTGTAGATGTTTTATGGAAAAGGTCAGACCTGAATTTCAAAGGTCATTGCAATTAGTTGGGCCACTGATTGGAAGGAAAGATTTTGATAAATTAACAGCATACGTGCAAGAATTAGAAGTCGCTAGTGAAAGGGAAGGTCGAGCGGATATAGGCATACATGCCATAGCTGATCAAGCGCAACCCAGTCAAATTCCCCGTGGACGGTTCACAACCTGGAAGCCAATAAACCCAAACAATACCCCATTAGGACAAAGGGTGAATTATAACAATGGCAGATATGCTTCGGCAAGCAATGAATTTAGACAAAGAAATAGATGGCAGCCTAGTAACCAATGGCGGCCACAAAATGATCGCAGATGGAACAATCGTCCATTTTGCCACTACTGCAAGCGTACAGGGCACGAACAATATAATTGTAGGGAACGCCAGTTCAACATTAATAGGCCATTTAATAATAGAAATCAAGGCAGGAAAAATGCAGAGAGCAATGAAATTGAAAATCTGAAAAATCAAAATCAAGAGATGAAAGAGATAATAGACAACTTATCAGTGCAGGTACATGAAATAAAAATGAATAGGAATTATGTCCCATCGAATCAAAATATAAGATCCCTGCAGCCTATTAAAGTTACTGAAACTAACGAGACTGAAAAACATGAGACTAAACATAAGAAAACAGAGCCAAAGAAAATAGAAAGTTGGGAAAATAGTGGGCATAGAGCAAGAATCCCGTCATTATTAGGCACCTCTCTAATGCTAATGACAATACTAAGTACTGCTATGGGACTTAATCCGGCTTTGGTTCCGAAAACTCCAATGATATGCCAGACGCAGAAACAAGCAATGATTTGGCAACTACCTGAAATAATGTTTTACTACCTGAAATAATGTATATATTATATATATATATATATTATATACTACCTGAGGTAGTATAGGTAGTATACAGGTAGTATATATTATATACTACCTGAAATAATGTTTATTTTAATGTATTTTTAAATGATCTATGTATTATTTAACTCTTTTTCATACAATTCCCTATTGAATTTTTTTTTATCTTGCTCAATTCAAAAAAAAAGGGGAATGTGATGAGGTCTTGGCATTTAAAGTTCAATTGTTGTTTTATTTTGTCAAGATCGAGTTTAAATGCCTCTCATTTCTATTCGCTCAGACTATTCCCTGATAAATATTTCTCTTTCTGAATCTAATACAATCTCTTTTCTTCTATTTCCTTACAGTATATGGAAGCGAATAGAAACTATATGTGCTTTGGCAATTAAGAATTCCTTTTTAATTTTTGAATAAATTTAATAGAAAAATTATGACAATTCCTGATTTTTCACAAGTATTATAGTTTGATTTTATAGCTCAAAATTATATATTCTACTCATCTATTACATAAATTTTATATTCTATTAACTTATACATATTTTGTCTGGGTGTATTTTTGTACTACTCAAATCTAAAATTTACCAATTATTATACAAATAAGGTTATATTTATAGGTTTAAGTTATATTCTCAGACATTATAAAGTTTATTTGGGACTTTGGAACCCAGTTATTTTCGGTAAAATGGTTTTAAAATTTTGGATTTGTATAATTTCTATTTGAGTAATTATTAATTAAATCATATTTAAAATCAAAACATAATTAAAATTATTCTGTTAATTATTATCTCCTTCTCTAGAAAAATACTCTCTTTATTAAAAAAATAACTTTTTCTCTTTCTTCTCTCCTTTCTTTTTTAAAGTATTAGAATGTTTGAATTTTTAAAGTATTTTCATTTGCGAAATTTTTTTGGGGAAAATTATAATTGAGTCTGAATTGCTTCGGCAGTCAAATTTTTTTTTTTGAGTAAATACTTTTCACAACCCTCGATATACTCAAATGAAAGGAGGAAAGAATTTTAGAATATTTATTTGTAAAATTTCTATTATTCTGAATTATTCTCAAAATATTACAATAATTATTATTCAATTAAATTTCCTCCTAAACTTTCAAATTTAAAGCTAGTGATTTTCGGTTTTATTCCTTTCCGGTTTTATTTCTTATTGGGTAAAAAAAATAATAAGTTACTCTAATTCAATTCTATCCAATTCTCTATCGAATGAAATATGTTGTAAAGAGTAAATAAAAAAAAAAAAATTTTTTTTTATATATATATAAAAAAAAATTTTTTTTTTGAATAATATAATCTAATAACAATGTGATATTAAGGCTTGGATATACCTGTGCCTTTGGAATTTTTCTGGTTAATTTAGTTGTTTTGGTCAAATTACTTATCTGCTTCGGCAAGTTCAACTGGTGCTTAGGCAAAAAAGAAATTGGAAAAAAGGTAGTTAAAAGTTAAAAAAAAACTATATATAACAAGTCTTGAAATAAAATTAAAATATAATAATAAAGTAAACAAACATAAGAAATAACCTATAATTATTAATAATTTATAAAAAATAAAATAAATAATTTATAAATTTTAAAAATTAAAATGGAAAATGTGGATATAAATGTAGTAGATAAAAAATTATTTGAGGGCAAGATTCTAAGCAGTCAAGCAAAAATAGGTGATATTTCAAAAGTATATGAAGATTTAATATTATTAGAAGATGGAGTTAATAGAAACCTAAGGGCAACAAATAGGAACATCACACATTTAGAAAATAATTTAAAGGGGATTGAAGATGGGGCAAATGCAGGCTTTGAAGAGGTAGCAAAAAGAATTGATATAGTAGGCGAAGATGTTAATAAATTAGATGAAAAAGTAGAAAGTATAAGAACTGAGTTTCAGGACAGGGACAATTTAGAGTTTGATGAGTTAAGGAGCAGTGGAGCGGCCAATCTTTTAAGAGCTAATAGTCGGCCCGCAGTTATACCACCACCACCACCACCCAAGCATAACTCCCAAAGTGCGAGCACTAGTAATAGTAATACTATAACGACATCATCCTTAGGGAAGAAAGCAAATAATAATTTAAATGAAAACAAAAATAATCAAAATAATGGTCAAGAATTAAATGTTTTGAATGAAATTGGGACGTCTGGTCCACAACTAAATGTGTTTACAGGCGAAGTTGCATCAGCTTTTGATGAATGGGCAATAAGATTTAGAGATTATGTTGAAGTATTTGGTAGTACTTGGACTGAAATGGAAAAGTTAAACAGACTTAAGTTATATTTAGGAGCGCAAGCAAGACAGATTTTTGAAAATTTATTAGTTACTGAAAGGAACACCCTAGCAAACGCATTAATGAATATTAGAGCAAAACTTGACAGCCCGCACTTCCGAGAGCTAGCTTACAAAAGATTAGCAGCGTGTTACCAACGGGAAGGGGAGTCAGTGAGTGAATTCATTAAAAGATTAGTACCACTTGTTAATACAACTTCATCGCATGCACCAAATGATGTAAGGGAAGAAACACTTTGTAGATGTTTTATGGAAAAGGTCAGACCTGAATTTCAAAGGTCATTGCAATTAGTTGGGCCACTGATTGGAAGGAAAGATTTTGATAAATTAACAGCATACGTGCAAGAATTAGAAGTCGCTAGTGAAAGGGAAGGTCGAGCGGATATAGGCATACATGCCATAGCTGATCAAGCGCAACCCAGTCAAATTCCCCGTGGACGGTTCACAACCTGGAAGCCAATAAACCCAAACAATACCCCATTAGGACAAAGGGTGAATTATAACAATGGCAGATATGCTTCGGCAAGCAATGAATTTAGACAAAGAAATAGATGGCAGCCTAGTAACCAATGGCGGCCACAAAATGATCGCAGATGGAACAATCGTCCATTTTGCCACTACTGCAAGCGTACAGGGCACGAACAATATAATTGTAGGGAACGCCAGTTCAACATTAATAGGCCATTTAATAATAGAAATCAAGGCAGGAAAAATGCAGAGAGCAATGAAATTGAAAATCTGAAAAATCAAAATCAAGAGATGAAAGAGATAATAGACAACTTATCAGTGCAGGTACATGAAATAAAAATGAATAGGAATTATGTCCCATCGAATCAAAATATAAGATCCCTGCAGCCTATTAAAGTTACTGAAACTAACGAGACTGAAAAACATGAGACTAAACATAAGAAAACAGAGCCAAAGAAAATAGAAAGTTGGGAAAATAGTGGGCATAGAGCAAGAATCCCGTCATTATTAGGCACCTCTCTAATGCTAATGACAATACTAAGTACTGCTATGGGACTTAATCCGGCTTTGGTTCCGAAAACTCCAATGATATGCCAGACGCAGAAACAAGCAATGATTTGGCAACTACCTGAAATAATGTTTTGTCCTTCAATTAGCATTTATAAAAAATGTACACCAGCAATTGAAAATAGAAAAATATACATTCCCAATAGCATTGAATTCTCAACCAAGGCATGGGCTTGTAGAAAAATTAAGAAAAATGCGCGCAAGTACACAACGATCACTGGTATTCCAATTGAAGAGAAATTAGATCATGAAGAGTTAGACATATCTTTAGAAGAGTGTAACCAAATGATCAAGCACCGCAGTTGCAATCTAGGCATTCTAAAGCAAAAATCTGACTTATGGCAAACTGAAAATAAGATTGATTTGACACCTAGGACTTGGTTTTTGGGTTCTTTCGGGTGGAAAAATATCTCAAGTAAGAATTGTTTCCTGTTTGAAAGTCGAATTGATTCTCACTTCGGTGCGTCAGAAATTGTAACTCCATTAGGAATAGCACATGAGTGTCCTTATGAAAAAGGAAATTGTATACTCAAAGATAAAACAGTACTTGTATGGGAAGTAAGTACTGAAAGAAAATGTAACTTTATTCATATTGGGGATAAAAAGGGACAATGCATGGGTAAGGCCTGGCTTTCTGATGATGGAAGATTAGCTCTTACGTTTGAAAATGCAACTACTGTAAATGATTGTGGAAAGAATATTTTAGTTTCTGATCAGGGTCTTGGGTCCATTATAATTAATGTAACCGATATAACAAGAAAAAAGAGACATGCCTATGATAAACCCCGAAAGTATTATGGGGATGGTGTTGTCACATCCTCGCAGCTTGCGTCGCAGCTCACATACCTGGAAACTGAAATGTCAAAGACAATGAACTTTGCATTTTACCAGTCATTGCGCTCATTTTGTGAATTGCTTGAGGTAATTAAGCGATGGACTGAAGCCACTTATATGAGTAATCCAACAGAATTAGCAAGGTCGATGTTTTCCAATCCGTACCTTGTTGCTAAAAGGTCTGGTATGTCACTTATGAAAGTTTGGCCATGTGTACCTTTAGAAAAATCGGACTATGAATTCCGTCCAACAAAAATGAATGAATGCTTTGAATTTATTCCTATAACGCTCAGGACTGAAAGTAAAGAACACCTAGCATTCTTGGATCCCACAACTATGATTATCACACCCTCATCTAGGAAAAGTCCCTGTCATGAGTCAAGAAATATAGTAGTACAGATTAATGATCAGATTTTAGAAATAGATCAAAGTGAAGGAAAAATTACTTCGGTAAGACCAAATGTATTAAAAATTCATGAACTGAAATTGAACTTTACCGAATTAATTCCGAAAATTGAATCGCATGCTTTTCATCAGTTAGTTCTTCTGAATATGACTGACATTAAAGATCATGCATTTGTGAGCAATATGGTAAGGACAAGTCAAATCACATACCAAATAAAAGAAAAAGAGACTGGTATTACGACGTCTGTATCCCAAGAATGGGAAGAAGTGGAAAATCAACTTGTGAGAGGAGTAATAGGTGATTATAAACAAATTTGGGCAATAATAATTTCCATAATTGTTGTAATTCTAGCTATTGATTTAAGCATAAGGCTATTAATGGTTTTTGCTGAAATGTATGCGGGGAATGGTCGCTTAGGCAAGCTTATATTTGGGACTAAAATTGAAAAACCCACTAAAAGGATGATGGAAATTAAGAGGATTAACGAACCAAGAATAGAAGAAGATGCCACTTATGAGGAACCAATTGTAAATAGGCTATCCGTATCTTGGCCACCCACAGTTAGAAATGCAATAGAGTCCGGGGCACCACGCAGGTCCCCACTTAACATAGGATCAGTAGGAAGAAGAGGTTTTATTGGAGCGCTGGGACCAAATGCAGCAACAGTAATAGTTGACGTAACCTTGAATGATATGCCTTTAAGGTGTCTGGTAGATACGGGAGCAATCACCTCAGTAGCCAATATAGCCCTAGCAGACCGCATAGGAGCTCAAGTTTTTCGAGTTGAAACATTTTTGCAAAGTGCCTCTGAACATCCTATGTGCGCCAGACAAGCAATGAAAGCGCAACTCTGCATTGCAGGGGCAGGGGCTGAAATAATCATAAATCTTTTTAATGATAAGTTTCACTGGCATAAGCATGATTATCATTTTATTCTTGGATGTGATGCTTTGGCTCAACTACCACCCATCCAATTAGACTTAAGAAATAAAAACTTAATAATTAAAGGAAATATTTTAAAACTTGATAATAAAATACAAGGTAAACTAAGGGATATCAAGGTTCGAGCACTAGCGACATACGAATTAAGACCAAATGAACAGTGCCTAATCAAAGGTAAAGTCCAATTCCCAGAACTGCTTCGGCAAGACATAATGTTTCACACAATAGACCAAAAACTTTCAGATGAAGGGTTAAGTTTTGTTCCAATAGTTACAAATCCAAAATCAGGAGTAGTACCTGTAATCATATCGAACCCCACGGGAGAAGTAAAAAGAGTTTTTAAGGGCAAAGGCCTGGGTTTAGTGAATGAAATTTATGAGACTAGTCATGAAAATGTCCTTTCAGAATTCGAAAAAGAAGAGTGTGAAGGTACTGAGCAAGAATTAAATTCCTTAGGGAAGTCCAAAGTAATTATTGATCCAAGTTCTAAAATTGATTTTACTAAGTCGTCAGTGAAGAATGAGGAGTTAAAGAAATTAAAAGAATTGTGTGAAGAGTTTGGTGATGTTTTTAGTAAAAGCCAATATGACTTAGGCAATTGTACAGCAGGCGAACATGACATAGTGACTACGTCTGAAGAACCAGTAACCTCAAGACCTCACCGGGTGCCATTTAAATATAGGGACGAATTGCAGAAGCACATTGATCAGCTTTTAGCCTCAGGGGTCATGATTGAATCAGACACCCCGTGGGTATCAAACATAGTGCTAGTTCAGAAAAAGGATGGAGGGCTTCGGCCATGCATTGACTTTAGAAAATTAAACGAAATTACAGTACCTGACCATTTTCCGTTGCCCAGACTTGAAACGATTTTGGAACGTGTAGGAAATTGCAGATATTATACATCTTTAGATTTAGCTAGTGGCTATTTGCAAATTAAGCTAAGTGAAAGAGCATCAAGGAAGTGCGGAGTCATTACTGAAGACAATGTCTATCAGATGGTCAATCTCCCGTTTGGACTTAAAAATGCCACAAGTGCATTTGCAAGGGTCATGGCGCATGTATTGACAGGTCTTGAAAATGTTCTTGCTTATGTTGATGACATTCTTATTTATACAAAATCCGAAAATTTTAATGAACACCTATCTGCACTAAGGAGTGTATTTGAAAGATTCAGAAGATTTAATTTGAAACTTAGTCCCAAGAAATGTATTTTCGCTTCGGCAAGTATGGAATTCCTCGGTTTTATTGTAAGTGAATCAGGCTATACACCTAGTTTGAGAAAAATTGAAACAATTTTGAATTTAAAAATCCCAACTTCGGTCAAAGAAGTTAGGCAAGTAGTTGGAATGGCAAGTTTCTTTAGGAAGCATGTCCCGAATTTTTCGACAATAGTAGAACCTTTAACTAGGCTAACCAGAAAGGAAAGGCCATTTATTTGGGGAAAAGAACAGCAGGAAGCCTTCGAGAAAGTTAAGAAAATATTATCTGAAAAACCTGTGTTGACATTTCCTGATTACACAAAACCATTTCACATATTTTGTGATGCCTCTTCAGTAGGTCAAGGAGGAGCGTTAATGCAATGGGATGAAGAAAAGAAGGTTTATAGTGTAATATGTTATTGCAGTAGGACGCTGTCAAGTTCAGAAAGAAATTGGCCACCTGTTCAAGTTGAATTAGGTGCAATTATTTACGCGCTTCGGCAATTCAAACCTTTTATTTTTATGTCTAGTATAGAGCTGCACACTTACCATAAGCCATTGGCATTTCTTTTGAAAAAGGCTGAGACTCATCAAAATTTAGCTAGATGGTTAGTAGAACTGCAGAATTATAATATAAAAATAGTTCATATAGCTGGGAAACAAAATTCGCTAGCTGATGCTTTGTCTAGGATTCCCCATGAAGATTTAAGTCCTGAAGAAGTTGAAAAATTAGAAGAATTAGAAGACATTGCTGAATTCCCTGTTTGCTTAGCAATCAACAAGAAACCGTTTATTGTTCATGAAAAGTTTGGATTAACTATGTCGATAAGGTCAATGGAAGGGAACATCCACCAAATTGATATTAGGAAAGAACAAAGTGAAGATCCTGAGGCTTCAATCTTAATAGACTTTCTCAAATCCGGAAATTTCCCTGAGGACATTTCTGAAGAAGAGAAGAACAGTTTCTCAAGATTAGCCAAAGATTTGTGTCTAGAGTCAGGAGTATTATATTTCCACCACAAGCACTCGAAACCAAGGATTTATGTCCCTGTTTCGCTAAGAGCAATGATATTTGATTCATTTCACACA